GCTTTTAATGTTCCCAGGGCCCTGGCTGGACCCAGGCCAATTCCTCTGGAATCTTTGGACTCAGACATCAGTATTTTTCAAAGCCCATCAAGGACTTCCAATGTGAAGCCAATACTGAGAACCACTGTTTAGAGTCTACGATAGTCCTCAAATGCAAAGGTTTTGATAAAAAAAGAGAGAAGAAAGCCCAAAGATTTCCTTTAATTGGAAAAAGTCTATTTTGTTTTTATTCTCATAACTCAAAAGCTGGTAAAGGGATTTTACCCCCCCTTGAACTTTCCATTAATAAAAAACAAAACAAATTTGTACTGAAAACAATAATGAGAAAATTCAGCCCAAAGTAGAATTTTCCAGAAAGTTATGGGCAAGTGAGAAAAAGCAAAGACTATCATTGAAAAAATACTTTTACAAGAATTTCCTTTTCAACCTGCAGGCAGTGAATGTCTCATATCAAAGATGGATAAACAGCATTTGCCAAAAAGTCCCACCTTCAGCTGTTGCTAAGAAGCTCAGTGTCAAGTGATGGAAATGCCCACGGCAGAGTTAACTCAGTCTGACTCAATGTGGGTTTTAAAGAAGAAATTAACAAATTTTTAACAGTAAGAGCACAAGTAACTAAATGACTAGCAGCTAAATGACTAGTTGAAAAGGATTATCTTGACAGCTGGGCCTGATGGCTCATTCTGCAAACACAACTTTCTAAAGACTGTATCAACCCTGTCTTTCCGTGGCAAAAGAAATATGTGTCTCCAATTGGTTAGATGATACCGCATTCTGTATAGTCCTGAACTACTCTGAAAATAGCGAAAAAGTGGTCTGCAACATATCGGTTATTGACTCTGCCCCAGGGCATCAAGTAATTGTGACTCTCTGCTTTACTCTAATCTGGCACAAAATCTTGACCTCAGTGATTTTGAAGGCAAAGCTTCTCATTAACTGTAGGATAAAGTAGAAACCCCTCAGGCTGACACGGAAGCCCATTCATGATGAGGTCACACCATGCCTTGTTTCCATCCTTGCACCTCACTGTGCCTGTTATCGGGCCAGTGTTCGCAAAACCTTTTTAGTGACCAATGAGAGTCCAAGAGAGTCTTCCAAACTCTTCTGAATTTTGCTTTTCTAACATTGCCCAGCTCTTCCTGTAGGCTGAGCTCTCTGTTGAGCATTTTACAGACTTTATCAAATAAGTTCCTTACCACAAACCTAACGGGTGGGAATTATTATCCTCTTTTTCCTTGAAACCTCATGGAACCATTGTAGTTTCCTCCTTCAGGAATCAGGAATACCTTTTCTCTCTCAAAGTGCCTACTAAAGTTGAGGTGCATGGCGATGCCGATTCCCTGGGTCACGCTGGTTTCTTTGGAGACTTTTGACTGAGCACAAATGTTTATAAGGAATTGGAGCAAAGCAACTCAGGACTAGGCCAAGCTGGATTCGCTCTGTAGGAATGGAGGAGAGAGATGATCCTTGCTCAATGTTTCTGTCCCACGGCTGAACTCAGCATTGGGTCGTGATGGTGACAGCAGTCGTGGTGGAGGTAACTTATGGAATAGAGAGGAAGGGACAGTCAGATGCAGAAGCCAGCTCACCCCCTCCCTCTGACGTGGTTTGTGTCTTCTGTGTGTGCCTGGTGCTTTTGTGGCTCTCTGAGCTTCACCCCTCTTGTCCCTCTGCTGAAATGCCCTTTCCACTCCTCTCCAAAGGTCCCATCCTGCCTCTGCCTGCAAGGCCCAGTTCAGATTCTTCCTGCTCCACACCCCCAAATTCTCCTGTTTCTCCCAACTTGAGGTTAACTGCCTGTGGTGGGTTGAATTGTGTCCCCCAAAAAGATATGTCTAAGTTCTAACCCCCAGGACCTGCGAAAGTGACCTGATACGGAGAGAGTCTTTGCAAATGTAGTTAAGGTAAGGATTTTGAGATAAGGTCATCCCAGATCAGTGTGGGCCCTAAATCCAGTGAAGGAGGTCCTTGTAAGACACAGAAGACACACAGAGACACAGAGAGGAGGACGTGAGGACGGAGACAGAGGCTGAATCAATGAATCCACCAGCCAGGGAACACCAAGTATTGCCGATAGCACCAGAAGTTAGGAGAGCAGCCTGGTAAAGCTTCTTCCTCAGAGCCTCCAGGGGAATCAACCCTGCTGACACTGCAGTTTTGGACTTCTGGCCTCCAGATGGATGAGAGAATAAATATCTGTTGTTTCCAGCCACTGAGTTTGTGGTGATTTGTTACTGCAGCCTCAGGAAATGAACACACTGCCTTTCGCTGGACTCGTCTAACATCCCATCTGATTTTCTCTTAACACCCATCAATTTGGGCTCCATGTTTTACTTATCCTACCAGATTCAGCTGGATTACCCTTCAGGTCTCTCATGACGGCTTCGGCACTGTTGGTGCTCTCACATATTTGCACTGAAGTTGTGAGTTGGAGCAAGGACAAGTTCATGCTCCTGAAGGGACTGGAACAACTCGGAGGAAAGCTTGGCCTCTGTGGCTGTTCTTCTGTTCATGGTGGGGGCCAGCCCAATTCTGACCCAGCCCTGAGGCCTCTTTGTCACTTCAGGACTTTGGGGTGTCCTCACCCCTCCTGTCTGGTACACTCCAGGCAGCATGGGGACGGGTTCCTTTCTCTGTGCTCCCCATCGTCCTCATTAGCACACTTTGCCCGCCATTAGAATGATCTTCCCACGGCCATCTTTACCAGAATTGTAGCCCCTTAAGGTCAGATGCCGTGTCTTATCTGTCTTTGAATTTCCTAAGCCTGGGACTGATGATGTATTGATGTTCAGTGAATGCCATTTAAAGCTCTTAAGCATTTGGTCTCCAGCTAGCTTTTCAGGATCATTTTGTTTCATCTGTTCATTCTGCCTGCCCTCCTACCCCCTCCTCCCAACACCCACCCAATTGCAATCTGGTGATACCAACCTCACGGTTATGCGTTGAATTGCTCCCCCTCCAAGTCCCCTGAAATCCACATGTTGGGGTCCTAACCCCCAGTACCTCAGATTGTGGCCTTTTCTGGAGATAATATACTTACAGGGGTAATAAGTTAAAGTGAGGTCGTTAGGGTGGGCCCTAATCTAACATGACCATTATCCTTATGAAAAGGGGAAATTTGGATGCAGAGATACGCATAGAAGAAAGGCGATGCGAAGACACGGGGAAGATGGCCATCTACAAGCCGAGGAGAGAGGTCTGGAACAGTCTTCCTCAGCCCTCAGAAGAAACCAACCCTGCCGACAACTTGATCTTGGACTTTGAGCCTCCAGAACTGAGACGCTAAATCTCTGTTGCTTGAGTCACCCATTCTGTGGTACTTTGTTATGGTGGCCTGAGGTGACTAATATACCATTGTAGTTCTCAGATCACTCAGCCTCTCCTTCAAGCCTTTGCATATTCTGTTTTCCTTTGCCTGGACTATCCTTCCATGTTACTGGTGTGAAAAACTCAACTTCTGTTGAGCACTGCTATGTGGCAGGCTCTGTGCTAGGAAGCTTACATGCGTTACCTCATTTCACTCTCGTAACAACATGGTATCTGCAAGTTCCTTTTCATGAAAAGAAGCGTTGCATATGCTGGTTGGTCTGTACAAACATTACAGATGGAATTAATCTGAGTGGCCCAAAAAGAGCAATGACATGATTTCATGATACCCCAGTGACTGCACTGAAGGACCTGGTCGAAGGGCATGGCCATTCTTGGGCACTGTACCCTGGTCCAGCATCACACCAGAGGATCTCTTGGTCACCTGATATTGGATGGCATGGGGTTTCCAACATTAGAAAGAGAAATAATTTTTTTGTGACTTAGTGGAAGCCATTCTGGAAAAAGAAAATCCATTTGTGTCACTCAGTTTGAAAGGCTCTCACGTGAGATGAGGGCATCTGTGTCGGGAGGAAAGTGGATGATTCATTGTATGTCAATTACTTAGAATGGTGTTGAGCACGTGGCGGGCACTGTGTAACTCTTGGCTGTTATTATTAGAATACTTCTAAGACTTCTCTGCCCGGGGAGCGTGTCACAAACTTTAATTTTGGCTCCTACCCTGTGTATGTGAGCTGCTCTTATGAAGTTTACGGGATCACAGTTATCTACTGCCAGGATAAAATATAAACAGTTTTTCTAGAATATTGCAGCAAGTAAAGGAAGGTGACACAACACCAGCCATTTCCTGCCCAAGCCCCAAATCTGTGGCTACCAACTTTGCAGCACCGGCTTCTCCCATAGTGATGCTCAGGGATATCTCAGTTCTTCCATGTGACTCCAAACCTCTCAGGTATAAATCACACCTCTTTATGGCTGCTGAGGGGACCCTCCCCTTGGTCCCTTCTTTTGCAGGTGTGTGTATCTGCTCTACACTACAAAACTGTTCTCCATACTTTGCCATGCAGTGGTTTGCCAGAACAATCTGAAGCAAGGAGGGAGGTTGTTGGAAAGCTTCTGAAGTCACCCCTAAAAGACTGAGATCAGAAACTTTGGGGGACAATTCTAATCTTATCAAGCATCTTGGCAATGAACCCCATCTTCACTGACCCGGATTTTGCCCTCCAAGAAAAAACAAAGCATTTGCATCACGCACCTGCTAAGTGCTCGGAATTTCAGTTAAACTGCCTTATTTCTCAATCCTCAAAACTGAGGGGCAGTGGCTCATTTATTCCTCGTCAAAATTCTTTTTCCTCCTTCTTCTGTTTTTTTTTAAGGTATACTTTTTGATGAGGAAGATTGACCCTGAGCTAACCTCTGCTGCCAACCTTCCTCTTTTTATTTTTTCTCCCCACAGCCCCAGCATGTAGTTGTATATCCTAGTTGCAAGTCATTCTAGTTCTTGTATGTGGCATGCTGCCACAGCATGGCTTAATGAGTGGTGCATAGGTCAGCGCCCAGGACCCGAACCAGTGAACCCTGGGCCGCTAAGGCGGAGCACGCAAACTTAACCACTCAGCCATGGGGCCAGCCCTCCCTCCTCAAAATCCTGTACAGCAGATACAGTTATTTCCTTAACAGGTGAGGAAACTGAGGTTCAGAGTTTGAAATTTGCCCGTGGAAAATAGGCAGGAAAAGACAGATCCTGGATTCCAATGTAGGACTTTTTGGCTTCAAGTTCTAGGCCCTTTCAAAATCCTCACACCTTCTCAGCCTGGGAGAACATGAGTCAGGGTGGACTGTCCAGACAGGGAAGGACACAGCTGATGAAATGCGCTGAGAGAGTCCCGTATACAAGGTCTCTCCAGAGGTGTCTGGAATTCCTTAATCCGAAGCCCTGTTTAAAGTTAAAGCATGTTAACAAAGGGTGACCAGCAGACTGTAAGTCCCTAATGTGTGAGCAACACAGGAGCACTGTTCAGGGGTCTCAAAGTCAGATGGCTCCTCCTGCCGACCAAGAGCATGGGTGGGTTTGCATGGTGAGGGGGGGGGACAAAGAAGGCTTCAGAGAAATCTCCAGAATTGCACAAATGACTGCTATTATCTGCCAGGCCAACAGCAAGTTGTAGATGGGAGCTCCCCGGTTCTGTGCAGATGAAGATGGAAGGAGACTCAGCACTGTGTGTTGCTTATGAGGGTCAAGGGGGCAAAGAACGTTGAAGACAAAATGGACCTATATTTACGTTACCTTCCGGTCCCACGATGAAGGAACAAGCGCTGCCCTTTTTGAGGTTTTTGTCCCTTTGACACAGCTAACATGGACAACATTCCCAAAGCAAAGGAGGAGTAATTACAACAATGCTTGAGTGTGTATCATCATCCTTATGGCACTTCTACGCACATCAGAATCCTGTGATCCGTAAGGGGGCTTCTAGAGGTATGATCTGTACTAAAGAAAGGAACATCCCCATTTTGATTCTTTGGGGAGGGGAACCCTCCCCAGAGGTCACTCTGAATCATCTCATGAAAGATTGGGAGAGGGAGCAGGTCTCGTTCCTGTGCTCAACTTCCTATGTGACAGGCTCTCTCACTGGGTTACATGCTCACAAATCTCCTTTAAGGAAAAGAAATGGCATCATTTATGTACTAAACCTTTCACAGGGAAATAAAGCTAATAGTTAGCCTGAATCCTAGAATCAGCAGTTAAATTACCAAAATCAACTGTTCTTCTTCTTTCTTATCTTTGCCCACAGCTTGCTTCTTTTATTTCTTTAAAAGCAATTCATTTGGATGAAATGCAGGAAAAAGCAAAAATCGGCTCTGAGGGAGCCCTCTTCTAATGATAACGCAGACCCTCCCTGTGGATCTTCGAGAGGACATTTTCACACTCTGTTCGTTGTAACAGTCATGTGTTAATTAAAGCCCTGGGACCCTCTGGAGGATCTCAGGGTTGTAAACCTGCAACTGAATTTGCTGGCACTCACGGGAACTCGGTGACACATGGGTCGGAGGCCATGATGAAGAAGATAGCGTTTCCTCCACGGGTGATGAGACCACCATCTTTGTCCTCCTCCTGCTCTTCCCCTGTGTCACAGGAGACTACCCCCAAGTCAGAGAGAGGCAGCTTCTGTTTGAGTCCGTAGCTCTTGGAAGATCTGGATAAAAGAAAATGAGAATTTGGTTTGTGTTCTCTGTTTGACTCTGAAGGACAGAAGAAACGCTCTGAGTTAAGCTAGTCACTTCCTGAGATCCCTGAGCAGCCCCAATTTAGAAGCTTGGTCCTCTTGTCTTCTCTTCTATCCATAGCTGTCATTTGATTAGCCATCTATTCAGTATCCAGACAGTGTTCAGAAGGAAAGGATAAGCACCAGCAAATATTTCTGGATCTGCAAGTGTGAGGCCGTGCAGTGGGTTTGATTGAACATGGCGCCCACTGGCACAAATGACTTGACATATCCACCAGCTCCCCAGTTGCAAGTGGAAAACAGACCTGTGTTGAGATTTGGCATAACACCAGGAATGTGCCATCCTTAATAGAGCTGAATGAGGATCGTCCCCACCCAGCCCCCACCTTATGCAACGATGTACTCAGCAGCCAAGTGTTTTGATAATAAAAGATAATAATAATAGATGAAGGTTATTGTCTTCTCCATTAATTCTTTTGCAAAGCATCAAAAGTTAGCAAAAGGGCATTTCCTCCCACCTCATATTTAGGAGATTCCAAGCTTTGTTGTACGTATAAATAAAAAACATAATATGTTAGATCAGAAGAAAAGCATACGACCAGGCAGATAGTAGGCACTTAATAATGAAAAGAAAAATTTACGGAAGAATCGGAAATTATCAGGCCCTTTGAAGGATGACTAAAGACTCATGAGTATGCGTGAAACGTTCCTTCTTGACAAGAACAAACTTGAAAGTTTCCCTTTCAATCTTAGCGGCCCCCACCATGTGCCATAACGTAATTATTGTAAGGCAAGGAAAAAACATATTCTGAACGTGCAGGAAATATTCACCCTAGAATCAAGATATTTCTTGACTTCTGGACTCTTATCAAGCTCTTTTTTCTATGAGGCATCTAACTTTAATTTAACATGAGAACTGTGGGAAGGAACAACCGTGGCTTTGGCAGGGAGTGAAGACGTCTAGAGCCAAGGGTGTGGGGGTGCTCATTGTCCCCTGATTTAGGAGGCGAGGATCGCATTATCTTGACGACTAGATCTGAGCTGAATAAGAGGAATGGAATAAATAGTGAGTGCAAAACAAGGGACCCATAAATATTATTTAGCCTCAGCATATTTTCAAAACATTTCAACCATCCCAGACGCCCATGGCAGCCCTAACGCGTAGCAGCGAAATTTGAAGGACTTTGGCTTGGCGGAGAGGAAGAAACTGAGGGCAGAAGAGATGGTAGGGACAGGTCATCATAGCCATTCTCTCATTTTCCCAAAGATTAACAAAGGGGATTCTGCTGGCCATCTGGAAAAAGTCCAGTTCCTCTGTAGGGCAGGCTGACCCACCAGTCCTCATATATATATTTGCAACGACAACTTTCTACTTGAAATAATAAACTAGAACTATGGTTGCATTTAGTTTTCCTCTCCTGCATTGCCACCAGGGCACCTCAGGTTAATTAAACTGCCGAGACTTAGGGCAAATGGCCAGTGACATCTTCAATTTAGGTGACATCTTCAATTTAGGTACCAATGTGGAAGATGCCATGCATTTTTTATGGTTCTTATCTTTGTGTAAATTCATTCTCCTTAAAGATGTCACCCACGCTGTGCGATCACAGAGTGTTCTTTGGAAGTCAACAGACATCTAAGTCTTCCTCCAAATCTTATTTTTGTGAGAGTTGGAGTACATCAAGGACCCAGACTAGGATGACTGTCTCTGGAGCTTTCTCCTCTGGCAATTTTTGTTGCCATGGGAGATGTGTTTTAGCACGCTTACCCTTTGCAAGTAACACATCTCTCCTTTAGACATGTGGCCTGTCGAGAGCAACAAGAGATGCTGTTTTTTTTTTTAACTCGAATTCCAGAGACAACCTCATCTTTCTATAATTTGAAATTAAAAAAAATATGTGCTTGACACTCAACAGTTGCTCTCCCTTCTCCTCCTCCACCCCCTGCCCTAACCAGCCTGCTGCGTTTTATGATCTTCATGACAGATTTTTACCCACTGCCTTCTCAAGGGAGTGGCAGCCTGGGTTATTTTGTGTTTGTGTTATTTTGGTTTGTCTCTAGGTGGCTGTGCCAACTACAAGCCAAATACCCAATTCCTCCCTTTTCTACAAACTCAGTTGACAGCAAGACAAAAGGACACTTCAACCCAGCAAGATGTCATGTTTTTTGTTCACACGAAGGAAAGAGAAAATCAAGAAATGGTCAATGTTTTCTCTCCTGGGAGATGGGGTGGGGTGTTTATCCCCTCATATCAGCTCTTGGGTTTCTTTGGACTTTGATTTGGTCTTCACCAAGACAGAAGATGAAAACGTAAGCTGTGAAACACGATTATAAAGTAGTGACATGGGAGCCAGAAGCGACAAGGAAACTGTCACCTTCTTCTGCAGCTACACTTCCAATGTGATCATTAAGACATGGAGTCAAACGGGAGGAACTTGATAGGCTGGGGCAGGGGAAGGCGCAGCATGGAGCCATCCATGGGGAGAGGGGTCCATGTGATGTGTGGAGTGGTGAAGCTCTCTGAAGTGTCTGACATCTTGCCTCACTCAGAGAGGGTTATGAAAACATACAGAGTTGACGCAATATGATGTGTTGTGTCTTCAACTGATAGGCAACCCAAGACATCAGGAGTGAACTTCCACATGCTCATGGAAAGTACTGCATTGCTCTTCCGAGGAGACACTCTTATCCCCAGGAGAAGGGGATTGTGCAATGGAGATGCACTCTCTCTGCCAAGAGAAGATGGTAACTGGATGGCTACACTGTCTTGGAAGAGGTTAAGAAATCCTGAGAGGCAAAGACTGGTATTGCCTCAGGCTGGAGGGTTATAGTTAAAAAGGCAGATTATTCACAGGCTTTCACTAGGTGAAGTTGATTAAACAACTGAGGGGATGCCTATGAATCTGGGGAGAAAAATAGATAAAAGTGAATTGGATTCACCTTCCCCAGTTAATGGACGTGATCTTGCTAGTTCACTTTGTTTCACCAAATAGTGCTGTTTCTGCCTTAGCCAGTATTCATAGTTCAGGAATCTCATGATTGCATCTAATAACACACTTGTAGGAGTTTTTCTTCCTGTTGTTCCGAATTGAAGCTCTTCTAGGAGATTTTGTTTTGTAAGGGAGGAATGCTTCCCCAGGGGCCCAACAGTGGTTCCATTGAATTGGCAGTTGAGACTGTCATCTGACCAGTTGGGGATCCTCACGCCACTGAACCAAAAGGAAAAGAAGGGGATTACTTGTGAAATAATAGAAAATATATGTGTTGGTCTCTGACCCCATTCCTGGCACAGAGCTTCTAAAATCCTTGTAATTTCCTAAGTGGTAAGAGCACTAGGAGCATCTTTTGTTCTAAGATTTGGTCTTTGGTCTTGGTTCCTGATACAGAGCTCCTAAATCCCTTGGAATTTCCTGGGTGATAGAAGCATCTTTTGTTCTAATGAAGCAAGTCTTGGTGGGCTCCTTCATGGGGGATGGTCACTAGAAATACCAATCCATGATTAGAACCTTGAACTTTCAGGCCTGTCCCTCATCCTCTGGGAAGCGGAGAGGGGCTGGAGATTGAGTTAATAATTGATCATGCCCTATTTGATGAAGCCTCTATAAAAATCTCAAAAGTTTGGAGCTTGGAGAGTTTATAGGTTGGTTAACACATCCATGGGCTGGGAGGTTGGTGCACCTCAACTCCACAGAGACAGTAGCTCCTGTGCTTGGTACCCTTCTGGACCTCGCCCTATGTACCGCTCCATCTGTCTGTTCATCTATATCCTTTATCATATCCTTTATTATATAATAAACTAGTAAATGTAAGTAAGTGTTTCCCTGAGTTCTCTAAGTTATTCTAGCAAATGATCGAACCTAAGGAGAGAGGTTGTTGGAACTCTGATTTATAGCACAGGTGACAACCGGGGACTTGCGACTGGCATCTGAAGCAGTCTTGTGGGACTGAGCCCTTATCCTGTGGGGTTTAGACTAACTCCACTTAGTGTCAGGATTGAACTGAATTGTAGGCTACCCAGCTGGTGTCACAGAGAATTGCATGGTGTGCGGGAAAATTCACACATCTAATGCCAGAAGTATTGTGTGGTAGCAGTGTGAGAGTGAAGGAGAAACGGAGTTTCCCCCGCCATTATTCCACAGGCTGGGTGGATGATCCAGTCTCCGAGAGGAAATTGGTTGTTCAACACAATGGGGGCAGGGAGGACTATGTCTGGAACCCAGAGCATTCTCTGAATTGTCCCTTAGTACCTCCATACCTACTGGAAAACTCTGGCATCAAAAGAAGGGAAGGCCACTGAGGATTCAGACCTCTTTGGAAAGAAGAGTTGAGTCACTACATCAGATAGAGAACTCAACAAGCTGAAGGCTTGATTGAGAACAAAGGAAGTATAGAATGGGTTGTGGAGGAAGGAAGTCATACATTTCAACCAACTGGGTAGAAGAGGATTGTAGAAGCTATGGATATTTTCTCACATGCTCTTTGTGTGTGTATGAGTGTGTGCATATATAATAGCATATTTCTTCTTCTCTTTGCTCCTTCTCTTTATGACTTTGAATAAGTACTGTTAATTAATTTACAATTTAGTCTCTAGGTAACACAATATTTGGGCAAGACTGTGATTGAATTTGAGGAATAATTACCCATCTCTTGTCAACATCTTTTAGCTTTGTTTCTTTTTTTCTCTCTTCCTTCTTTGTGGTGCACTGATCAAATTTTCTTTTACCTCCTTATTTTCTCATCTAATTGTTTGGAAAGCATACATTCTATTTTTATTTAGAAGCCATCCACTAACTTTTAACATGCATAACTTGACCTTATGTTTTTCTAACAAGATCTAGAGGTGATTTATGTTTCTATTCTCTTCTTGAACAAATCAAGAATGGTTTAACTTCTTTCTGAAGTCTTCTCTTCCATCTTTTATGATATTGTCATCTACTATATCAGCTTTGTCCTGATTTTAAGCAATACTC